ATACAGGTATAGCATGATTTATGCCCTCTGTAATTACTTTCAGTTGGATGAGGTCATATGTTATGTGTTTTCTAATTCTTGTGGCTGCGCCAAATTTTTCACAGCCATGGGAAAGTGAGTTCATTGATTCACAGCGAGTATGGGCTGAATATGCCTTGAAGAGGCAAGAAGCACAGGCACAAAACAGGCGTTTAACTTTGGAGGATTTGGAGGTGAGCATTAGAATTTGCGGCTCTCTATATGTTTATCTTTTTTGTTTATAGTCTTTAAATTTAGTAGGTGGTAAATTGAAGTTCTGATTCATATTTTTGATTGTTATGCTTATACAAATTTCCTGCCTTTTCTCTTAGGATTCATGGGACAGGGGGATACCTCGTATAAATACACTGTTTCAGAAGGATAGGCATACGCTTGCGTATGACAAAGGATGGAGGGTACGGACTGATTTCAAGCAGTACCAGGTCCTGAAGCAAAACCCTTTTTGGTGGACACACCAAAGGCACGATGGTAAACTTTGGAACTTGAATAACTATCGGACTGATGTTATCCAAGCTCTTGGAGGTGTTGAAGGGATCCTGGAGCACACCTTATTCAAAGGAACATAGTAAGTTTGGAGATTACTGTTCCATTAGCTCCTATCTTTATAATTTCTTGAGGAGCATAATAGTCCAATGGAAAATTTCGTTGCCTACTACTGAAATTGGAGCTTGCATATGTTATTTCCATCTACTTTCTGACTAATTGATTTATTGGTGTCGAAGTCCTTACTAACTCTTTTATCCTTGAAATTCCAGTTTTCCAACATGGGAAGGTCTCTTTTGGGAAAAGGCATCCGGTTTTGAAGAGTCGATGAAGTACAAAAAGTTGACAAATGCACAGAGATCTGGTCTGAACCAGATTCCAAATCGTAGGTTTACCTTGTGGTGGTCGCCTACAATTAATAGAGCAAATGTTTATGTGGGTTTCCAAGTGCAGTTGGATCTCACTGGGATATTTATGCACGGGAAGATTCCTACTTTGAAGATATCTCTAATCCAGATATTCCGTGCTCATTTGTGGCAAAAGATCCATGAGAGTGTTGTTATGGATCTTTGCCAAGTTCTCGACCAGGAGTTGGATGCATTAGAAATTGAAACTGTCCAGAAGGAAACTATCCACCCAAGGAAGAGTTACAAAATGAATAGTTCTTGTGCTGACATTCTCCTCTTTGCTGCTCATAGATGGCCAATGTCGAAGCCCAGTCTTGTGGCTGAATCTAAGGATGTTTTTGACCAAAAAGCAAGCAATAAGTATTGGATAGACGTACAGCTTCGCTGGGGAGATTATGATTCTCACGATATTGAGCGTTACACGAGAGCCAAATTCATGGACTATACGACGGATAATATGTCTATATATCCATCTCCAACTGGTGTTATGATTGGACTTGATCTTGCTTATAACTTGCATTCTGCATTTGGTAATTGGTTTCCTGGTTCCAAACCACTGCTTGCACAGGCTATGAATAAGATTATGAAGGTAGTTTACTGTTACATATTGCAAAAGTTGTGCGGATCCTGTTTATCTAATTCTATTTGTTCATTGTCCTAAATGATCATTGTATGTCCTTTGTGCAGTCAAATCCAGCATTGTATGTTCTCCGAGAGCGCATAAGGAAAGGTTTGCAGCTCTATTCTTCAGAGCCTACAGAGCCATACTTGTCATCTCAGAATTATGGAGAGATTTTCAGTAACCAAATAATATGGTTCGTTGATGACACTAATGTTTATCGTGTCACAATTCACAAGACATTCGAGGGAAATCTGACTACAAAGCCCATCAATGGTGCCATTTTCATATTCAATCCAAGGACTGGCCAGCTTTTCCTGAAGGTTTGTCATCTTGGAACATCATTTGCAATGAGTTCTTTTTTTATCCATGTGGGACAGTGAGAGCTTGGTTTACTGACTTTAATCTACTTTGATCATACAGGTCATTCATACAAGTGTTTGGGCTGGGCAAAAGCGTCTAGGTCAGCTGGCCAAGTGGAAAACAGCAGAAGAAGTAGCTGCTCTTGTGCGTTCTTTGCCTGTTGAAGAACAACCAAAGCAGATTATCGTCACTCGGAAGGGGATGCTTGATCCTTTGGAGGTTCACTTGTTGGATTTCCCCAATATTGTTATTAAAGGGAGTGAGCTGCAACTACCATTCCAAGCTTGCTTGAAAATAGAAAAATTTGGTGATCTGATTTTGAAGGCAACAGAGCCTCAAATGGTTCTGTTTAACATATATGATGACTGGCTGAAGAGCATATCATCCTACACTGCATTCTCTCGTCTCATTTTGATTCTCCGTGCTCTTCATGTGAACAATGAGAAGGCTAAAATGTTGCTAAAGCCCGATAAGACAGTTGTCACCGAACCTCATCATATTTGGCCATCTCTCACTGATGATCAGTGGATGAAGGTAATGTGATTCTTTTACTCTCTTCTAGTTGTGAGACTGGTAGAATGATAGCATCTGCTCTGTAATGTAGGTTGCAAATTTTGCCAGAAATGTTACTCTTTTTTGTACTAAATGTTAGAATGATTATGTATGACTGCAGTTTTTTTGGGTTAAGGACAATCGTTCGTCTCTTTCTGATAATGGCATGTGTATATGTGAAATCATAATGTTGGAGATATCATGTGCTTGCATTATTGGAAGGAAGTTCATGTATAAGTTTTCTTCTTGATATTATGCCTTTAATTGCTATTTGATGTTGCAATCATTTGGCTGGTAAAAGTAAACAAACCTCCTATATTCTCTTCTGTTACTATGATTATTTTTTAGAAAAAAAAAATACTTTTGTTTTGCTTTGTGCAAATTTAGCTATAACTTATTTCCTCCTGTTTTAAAATGTATAATGACAGTTCAAGTATACTTTGTCATGTGCAGGTTGAAGTAGCCTTGAGAGACTTGATTCTCTCAGATTATGCTAAGAAGAACAACGTGAATACTTCAGCTCTCACACAGTCTGAGATTCGTGATATTATACTTGGTGCTGAGATTACCCCTCCATCTCAACAGAGGCAGCAAATTGCCGAAATTGAGAAACAGGTACCGTATGACTTAGTTATGGAGAAGTGTTAAAATATTGGTCTGTGTCTCTGGCCTAGTTTGCTGACTCGGTAATATATATTCAGGCAAAAGAAGCCAGTCAGCTTACGGCAGTCACAACAAGGACCACCAATGTGCATGGTGATGAACTGATTGTGACCACTACAAGTCCTTATGAACAAGCTGCATTTGGGTCTAAGACTGACTGGCGTGTGAGGGCAATATCGGCGACCAATCTTTATCTTCGAGTGAACCACATATATGTTAATTCAGAGGACATAAAGGTATGTTCATTGCCCTAATCTTCTTAGCATTTGACTGGTGATTCTTTTGGTAGGCAATTAAAAAGGGGAAGCATTACGTACCTTGAGACCTCCTGTTATTGGTTGGTGAAAATTGAGGGAAAAGGTTCAATTTGTACTCCATCTGTGTGTAGCGTGTACAGAGGCTATTGAATTCTAAGGAACTTATAAAGACAGTAAGGTAGCAAAATGTCATAGTTTTTGCTATTTACTTATATATTCTTTCAACTTGGTGATGCAGGAGACGGGATATACTTATATCATGCCCAAGAACATATTGAAGAAATTTATCTGCATAGCAGATCTGCGAACTCAGATTGCTGGGTACTTGTATGGTATAAGCCCACCCGATAATCCTCAGGTCAAAGAAATTCGCTGTATCGCTATGCCACCTCAATGGGGAACACATCAGCAAGTGAATCTTCCGAGTGCACTCCCTGAGCATGATTTCCTAAATGACTTGGAGCCATTGGGGTGGATGCACACACAACCAAATGAGCTTCCACAGTTATCACCTCAAGTATGATCAAGTGCTCATTTAGTGTCGCTGATCTTGTGAATTGATATAAGGAGTCTTGTGATCTCACTTGTGCTGCATTACTTTTGTAGGATCTAACTAATCATGCTCGGGTTCTGGAGAACAACAAGCAATGGGATGGGGAGAAGTGCATTATCCTGACATGCAGTTTCACGCCAGGTTCCTGCTCATTGACTGCTTACAAGCTCACCCCTTCAGGTTATGAATGGGGGCGTCTGAATAAAGACACCGGAAGCAATCCTGCTGGATACCTTCCTACTCACTACGAGAAGGTGCAGATGCTCCTGAGCGACAGGTTCCTTGGCTTTTACATGGTAAGAAAGAAGGATCATGAGAATGTTACAAATGCTTCTCACGGAACATAATTTGCATATCCCGTTAGAATTGTCCCGTTGGTCACATTGCTCACTGTCCTGAATATATCAGACCTTGGAGATCAATTAGCAATAATATCATTCTTCTCTATTGCATCCTTATCTGGTAATGACATAATCACTTACCTATTTCTCTTCCTGCTTTTAACGTAGATACCGGATAATGGCCCGTGGAACTACAACTTCATGGGGGTGAAGCACACATCAAGCATGAAGTTCGGAATGAAACTGGGGACGCCGAGAGAGTACTATCACGAGGACCACAGGCCCACTCACTTCTTGGAGTTCAGCAACATGGAAGAGGGCGACACCGCTGAGGGCGACCGTGAAGACACATTTTCTTAGGTCTTTGTAGAAACTCCTTTCGGGTTGTCTTTTGGATTGTTTAAAACCACCTTGTTGCACTGTACCCGCCCAAATAGGGGGCTCCTGAAATTTTGCAACGGCAACTGTTGTAAGCTTTTTATCCCACTCGCCTTTGAGAGTGAATGTATGTATGATACGTATCTTTAGTCAGCAAGAGCTCGTTTTTAGTTTAAAAAATGAGAAATAACATGGTGTATGACTGCGGTGTCGTGAAATTTAACTCTTACAGTTTTGCCCGCGAGATGTTCTGAATCCGATTTCATATGTTATCTCTCAGCAACGCTTTCCAGGGTTAGGATAATATTCCATTGGCTCTGTTTGATAGTTACACATGTACCCCCGGTTTTCAATTCGGTCTTTCCCTAAAATTATGACGAGGTGCTCCACGTGTCGATCTATTAGACTTTCATGACCCGTAACACTCCACGTGGCAAAAGTAGCATGATTTTCAAGCATCAAGCACGAGTCTGTTCGACACGTACGTGCAAAAAATGCAAACCCTCCGCACGCTTCTATGTTCTTCGACCTCCTTGCCAGCTCCTTCAATTTCACTCCTTATACGCACACACTCGCAAACTCGACCAGAAGCTACCACCGCCTCCAAAACAAACATGCAAGAAATCATGCAACGGAGCCCCGCCGGTTCATCCTCCACGCCCAAGCAACGCCTGAGAGAAGAGCCAGTCAGAGATCTGATCCTTCACAAGAGACAGCTCGTGGACGTCCCCTACACGGCGTCGCTCGCCGAGACCATGAACGCCCTCGTGATCAACCACGTTCTGGCGGTGCCGGTGGCGGCGCCGCCGGGGCGCTGGATCGGGGCGGGCGGGTCCATGATCATGGAGGCCGGCCAGGAGACCGGCGCCATAAGGAAGCAGTACATAGGGATAGTGACCATGCTTGATGTACTGGCTCACATAGCAGGAGATGATGATGGTGTTGAGAAAGCAAGTGATGATCAGAGGGGCTTAGAGAAGAAGATGGCTGCCCCGGTTTCGTCGATCATCGGGCATAATCTTGAAGGGCTCAGTCTCTGGACATTTAATCCTAATACTAAGTGAGTTCGACGTGCTTTTGGCTTGAGCCTTTCTACAAGTTCTATGTTATTTTTAGGGGAAGTATACGAGTGATTGTTCTTATATTTGTGTGAGAACTTGTGGAATAAAAATGGTTTCTTATATTTGACTTCTGTCTTTAGTTATTGTCTGCATGGTGGCTAAGTCTAGTATTAGAGTGATTGGAGGATCATTTAATGACCATCAGTTATGAAAAAGAGAACAATATATTATTTAAGAATTTCTTTATGAATGAAATAGTGAACACTTTGATTGAGTACATTGGACTAGGAGTTTACACAGGAACACAATTGGTCAAGCTGAATGGTTCGTGTAGTGACACGAGACGAGGTAATATACTAGGTAGTGTCGAGCTGCTTTCCTTGTTTTGTTATGAATCAATTGATGATTATAGTCCTCCTTTTGACAAGTGAAATTGTAAGCATCTACTTGCTTTTAGTAAGTGAAATCACATACCGCAAGAGTAGATGCGACTGTAATTGCGCGAAGGATCTACGTATTGGTTACTAAGTGCAATTTGAATGGTAATCACCAATAGTTGCTTACACGAGCCGACATGAATGGTATTGATTTTTCGTGCCCGTGCATTGATTTTTCCCCCTTTTTTTATGTACATGCCTTTTTAGTCGAAGCATATGCTGCAGTATAACATTATTTTCGTCTCAACACAAGTCTAGATGAGTCGTGATCTAGGCAAGTTACAGCTAGTATGCACACGTATGCAACAGCCACTCTTTTATCCTGGCATACGCAAATGACGGTAAACCAAAACCAGAATAGTATTAATCTGGATACTTGTCTTTAGAAATAGGGAACCAATAGTTGAAACTTTTTCCTGGTTTACAGTACATTTTAGAGATACTGATATCCTTTAGAAGCTTACGCTCCTACTACGTCATAAATCCTGGAAAAATTTCAAACATTGCGTGTTGCAGCATCCTGGATTGCATGGAAGTGCTTAGCAAAGGAATCCACAGAGCCCTTGTGCCGATAGACAGCCACATGGAGAACATTTCGGGAGTCGAGTTAGTGGAGGCCGCCCCTTCCTACCGAATGCTTACTCAAATGGATGTGGTCCGGTTCTTGAAGGACCATTTCTCCGAGATGGAAGGCATTGCAACACGCTCCATCAGGGAGTTAGGGGCGGTCAGTCGACATGTCTATGCGATCACGGACCGAACCAAAGTTATCGAGGCCATCAAGTGCATGAGAGCCGCTATGATTAATGCTGTTCCCATAGTTGCCTCAGAGGAATTCGAGCATGATCACAGCCAACTTTTGGATCTAGAAGTAAGTATGCACATCCTCTTTCCTTTTCTGTGTGGTTGTATAGAGTTTGACAGTTGAAGAGTAGATTAAGAAGCTCTGTTAAAGTCTTCCTCTGTTTTAGGGGAACTTAATGACTAAACATAGACACAGATATCCACGATGCGGTACATAATGTTAGCTTCAGACACAAGTTCAAAGTCTTGGTTAGCGGCTTAACGAGTGACTAATCGAATTAGCCAATTCGGCACCAAAATAGATGTCTGGCATTGCTTCTGTGTCTGCCTGTTTTGCTATCAAGTTGGGAAGCTGTCCCAAGTTGTTAAAATACCCAATTAACCAACACAAGTACGTCGCAATATTCAGGGCGAGGGTCGGAAGCTGCTGGGCACATTTTCGGCAACTGATTTGAGAGGGTGTCACTTGGCCACGCTGCGGTCCTGGTTGTCCACGACGGCGCTGGACTTCACCGAGAAGATCTCGAAGAGCCCTCTATACGCCGCCACCGCCGCCCCGGGGGAGGGGGGCACGAGGCCGAGAGAGCCCGTGACTTGCACCGACGGGTCGTCCCTTGCGGAAGCAATGGACAAGGCAGTGGATAAGCACGTGCATAGGGTCTGGGTTGTGGATCAACAGGGGTTGCTCACCGGCGTGGTTTCACTCACTGACATGATCCGAGTGTTGAGGGTTGCAATTTTGTCCGCTTAGCGTGCGCATGATCAAGACAAGAAAACTAACGTTATGTACCTCGTTGTATCCACGAGGAACAAAGACTAGAAATAATGCCCAAAATTTCTAAGGTCACAGTCTCTATCATTACTCATTTGTGCTTATCGAGTCTCTTGATTAGTTGGTTTTGATAATAATCATAGAGTTTCAGCTATGGAGAGAGATGGCATGAGCATTTAAGATTCGTTGTTAAGCGATGGGACAATACTTAGGATAATTCAGACAAAAACCGAGCTGAGGAGGCCTGGCACTTGCTTGTGAAACGAGAGATGTCGAATCATTTTCTCATCAAAACATGACCAGAGAGGTTGCGCTGGCGAAACTGAGATGATGGCGTAGATCCCACGAAGCCGTGCCGTGTCACGAGCATCATGCAAACGAGCCAAGTGCTGATTGGGAGGAAGTCCATTGAAATTCAATGTTACCTACTTCATTAAATAAAGGCGCAGTTAGTGCCGATTTGTTCGTTGATTGTCCCTAACGTACGGTCTTTCTTATTCTTGGTGAGACATGTCCCTTCCACGCAGATGTGTTTTCTTTTTACTCGTTGTTACTCCAAATCGGTCACTGAGCTAACCCAATTTGCTTCAGAAGTTGTGCCCGTTCAAGTAAGTACTGGGGTCTTGCCAAGAAATGCAATTGATAAGTAACCAACCACCTTCAATCAATTTAGTAGGCCTAGGGACCCAATTGATAGTAACTGGCTCATACATTTAGGCCACGGAGCTAATTGCGACGATTTCTTCATCGATCGAAGTCAATGAGTGTCATCGTAAGACATTGGTCAAGGTCGGTAGACGAGGAAAGCGACCTTTTTCCTACATTTTCACTCTATCCACTCCATTAGTTCACACCAATTTGGAGGTAAACGATAATCAAATGGGTACAAAGCTGATCAGGGGAAGTTAACCATCTCGTTTAAGAGTCTAAGAGAAGGTCCTGTAGTCGGCTAAGTTCGTATATCAGAAATTAAAATCAAACGTTAGGAAAAAACTAACCTGAAAGCAGTACAACCAAATAAGCAGAATGTTGATCCGAGCCCAACGAATTAACGTCGTGTCCTTAAGACGCAATTTGGCCCTCAATCGCACCGAGGATATTGGACAATCGTCTCCCAGGGATAGAACGGATCTCGTTCCTCCCGAGCGGTACGTATTCGGAGGACTCCAACGAACGCAATTTTGCAGAACAATCGCACCAAATGACAATGATGAAGTGAATATGCGTAGAGTGCGTCTAGGAAAAATGAATGCCACGAAGTGATATTTCTATTCCGAACTAAACTGTTCGGTCTTATTCAAGTGACGAAAAATGAAGAGTCGCGAGTTTTCGTGAATAGTTAGCCCTACTATTTAACAAAGTCCTGTTCAAAATAGTCATGCTCGAGTCAACCGAAAAGCACAAGGTTTCAAGATTTTCACTCAAATTAAATCAAAGGATGATAATAGGTGAATCTCTTCACCAATGACAAAGCTGTTAGCCCCATTCCGTCAACTTGGAGATCTGCGTTTGGTCGTTCGGATTCGAATAAAACAAGGTAGAATTAAAAATCCTCTAAATATCGATGATAATGTAATTCAATTATGCAGAAATTCAAAATCAAAGAATCTTATATTTTCATGATTCATTCACGACAATAGGGATAGAGGACATAAATTTATCCATTACAAAAATTTTGAGAAAATAATTGTTGCAAAAAATAAGAAAAATGAAGAAATCTAATTTTTCTCCCTTAACCCACTTTTGTCTTAAAGTATTTATCTGATGGATGATAGACTACAACCTTTCGTTATCTCGGGTGGAGAGAAGACTAGTCTTTTTATAGACTATTAATAGATGCCTTCCATAAGTGCCTTTCGTCAAAGCACATTCTATCTCCGTAAGAGTTGCAACTTTTCATATCCCATACATTTTTAGCACTTAAATAGTTATTAAATCATCAATTAATAATATCACTAAGTGTTTTCCATTAAAGCACATTTCATTTTCATAAGAGTTGCAACTTTTCATAACCGATACGTTTGTAGCATTTAAATAGTTATTAAATCATTAATTAATAATATCACGTGAGCCACAATTATTCTTATGTCGTTGGATGGTAGAAAATTCCATTATATATTTGGTGTAAATCTAAAATAAGTTTAGATATCTTTGAAAATCCCACTTGCCCAGTACAATCCCTCGTGGTATCCATACCTCACCGCTTGAGCTCCCTCACTAGCATTCTAGCATTGTCAAACCCGATCTCTTCAATCCTATGCACTCCTCCATTTCCACATCCAGGCAGTAGTTCTCGCTCAGCTTTATCGCATTAGAGTGGATTCGGATGCCGGCGAAGATGAACCTCGGGTCACCGAGGGTGTCGCGGAGTGATCGAGAGAGGTAGCAGGTGTGGCCGATGCATAGTGGATGCCTCGTGCGAAGTTCAGGTGCCACTTGATGTCGAAGCCAATAATTTGGGGATAGTGAGGAGCGGAGAGGAGGCTGACGGCACTGGGGTAGCAACTAAGGGGGGAGGACACGCCTCTGTTGTGGACAGACAACCTCGGAAGATTTAGCGCATTAGTGAAGGGACCCGAGTTTTTTGGTGGTGATAGTCATGCGACGTATAACTTCTCATTTCCACCCTCAATCGTTGGAACACGATGGCGATGACGATTGCACAATGGTTGAAAGTAATGATGAATGGTTGTCGTGGAGGTAATCCTTGAAAATTTTTATCCAATTCGGGTCTATCCTACTCTTACCCAAATTTCTTATTCTGTATTTTTTCTGAATGTATCCGGTTCAAAGGGAGGACATCAACAAATGCCCGATAGGATATCAAGATATCCTATCCCGGACTACCAATGATAGGGACGAAAGGATCATCGAAACCCACGATGGAAAAGAAGAAGTTGCACTCGTTGGATCGACGACCACTTTGCTCCCGTCGAAGTGGGCACGCGTCAACCGCGTCTAGCGGGGTCCCTCTCTCCCTCTCCCGTTACAATCGCACCCCACATCGGAAAGTCAAGAAACCACCACCACCGCCACCGCCACCGGCAACACCACCACCACCACCACCGCCACCGCCACCGGCAACACCACCACCTCCACCACTTCACACACTCTTTTGACCAATTCATGTAAAAAAAGAAAAAGATACAAATAATTAGGGGTGTGCAAAGGAATTGGGAACCGTCCGGACCGCTCGGAACCGGACCGGACCGGACCGGCCCGGAACCGGCGGTTCCCATGAGGACCGGTCCGGTTCCCCGTTCTAATTTACTGGAACCGGTAAGTACCGGTTCGGTTCCCGGTTCTAGGCATGGAATCGTCCACCCGCCTACCTGGATCAGATCGGTAATATATATATACATATATATAATTTTTTAGAAAAATTTCAACCAAAAAAAAAAAAGAAAACATTTTTAGAAAAATGAAAACCATAAAATCCCTAATCTAAAGCTCGATTCTCAACTCTTATCAACTCACGGCCGCACTTTTAGCCATTCATCACCTCCTTCTCTCACTCTCGGTCATCTCTATTTGTGTAAAACTTGGTGGGACCGGTTCCATGGACCCACCTGGAAACCTGATCGGACCCGCAATCCGGTTCCCGGATGGATCCATGGAACTGACGGGCGGTTTCCGATTTCAATTTTTTGGAATCGATTTTTAGTGGGCGGTTCCCGGTTCCATGTAAGGAACCGCCCGCCCGGACTACGCTCGCCCGTACAAATAATAACAGTGTTCCCTCAAGATCAATTCTTGATATCCCATAAATTAAATTATATTATATTAAATAAAAGAGAGAGAGAGAAGAAAATCCCTCTCGAGAACTCCGCCGTTTCCTTGCGCCCATTATATAACAACCACAGAAGGAGGCTTTCCCTCCATTGTCCCCCCCCCCCCCCACCACCCCACTCTTATCGCCGCCTTCCCCTCCACCCTCCAACCGCCATGAGCGTCATCACCGAGCACTCCCTCTCCCCCGCCCCCTGCGCCCTCAAGCACAGGATCAAGCCCCTCCCCAGCCCCCTCCTCAGGGGGCCCGACCCCGGCGACCCTGATCGCAAGAAGGACGCCACATGCATGGGCAAGAAGTCGGTCGTCGACGGCGGCGCCGGTGGCTCCGGCGCGATCTTCGGCCCGGCGTCATTCGTGAACTGGACGAGGCGGGACGTGGCCCACGTGGCGCGGCACCACTGGATCCCGTGCGCCTTCGCGGCGGGCCTGCTGTTCTTCATGGGGGTGGAGTACACGCTCCGCATGGTCCCGCCGTCGGCGCAGCCGTTCGACATCGGGTTCGTGGCCACGCGGCCCCTCCACCGGCTGCTCGCGTCGTCGCCGGAGCTCAACACCCTTTTGGCTGCTCTCAACACGGTACATTTATTACGTCGGACAAAAACAGATACAGCTGTTCTCTTTCCTCTTGTACGTGGTTGCATTCTACGTGCGTGAGCTGGATCTTGGGAGACGACATGCGAAGCGTCACCGGTTTCGCAATGCTCGTCCTCATTCCACATTTGACGATTCAGGCTTCAAACATTTTTCATGCATCCCCGTCAATAAACTGCAATAAATGCCGAATCAAGATAGTTCCAAAGTTACTGAATTCAAGGACCATGTATGTATAATATATATATGTTTATTGAATGATTTGCACGGTGTGTGGTGGGTGGGCAGGTGTTCGTGGGGATGCAGACGACGTACATCCTGTGGACGTGGCTGATAGAGGGCCGTCCCAGAGCGACCATCTCGGCGCTCTTCATGTTCACTTGCCGCGGCATTCTCGGATACTCCACTCAGCTCCCTCTTCCTCAGGTCCCCCATTCCTTCCTTCGTCGTCTCCTCTCTTTTAACTTTGCTTCTGTCTCTCTGTATTCATTGTACTTTGAGGCTTTCACAGCTCATGCATCGTGTGTGCTCTTAGGATCGATCGATCCTGTATTTGGGTATTTTTTATGGTATATCCCTCATCAATCGTGCTGAATGATGTCAATGTAATGAGGCTTTAAGGACTTGACTAAAACTACAATGAAATTTAACACAAATGATGTTACGGAAATGAGGGCGTCTTCGCACTTGTTTAGCCCCCTAGATCTGTCAAAAGCAAGATACCCAACAAAAAAACAAAGAAGTAGCTTTGATACTGAAACATTAATTCTTACTTGTTTTTGAAGTTAACTTTGTTGCCCTATGAATACTAATCTTTGCGGGTTTAAACCGATTTTTCGTTACGATGATCGAGTTTTTACGGGATTTGAAATTTTGTTCATTTCAGGGATTTTTGGGGTCGGGCGTGGACTTTCCAGTGGGCAATGTCTCCTTCTTTCTCTTCTTCTCCGGCCATGTCGCGGGCTCGGTGATAGCCTCCCTAGACATGAGGAGGATGCAGAGGTGGGAATTAGCATGGCTCTTCGACGCCCTCAATGTGCTTCAAGTGGTGAGGTTGCTGGGGACAAGAGGTCACTACACTATCGACTTGGCCGCCGGGATCGGCGCAGGGATTCTGTTCGACTCTCTCGCCGGAAAGTATGAAGAGAGCAAGAAGATGAACAAAGGTGGAATTGGCAATGGGATTTCAAAGGAGGCGCTCATGACTTGAGTTGAACACGCGTGGTGGACAAAAACAGCACATAAACGTGTACCGCGTAAGTTTGACCAGTTGCTGTAAAGGCTTTTGCTTTAGGGTGGGAAAAGCAAAGGAAAAATTCACAAGAAAAGAAAAATTGTAGGGAATGGCTGCTCAGAAAATTTTTTTTGCCTGTGAATTTTCACTTTCTTTTTTTGTATTTAGTTCTTTTACTGATGACATTCTAGTTATCTTTTCTTCTAAGTTAATTAAATTCTTTAATCAACCATTGGAATTTGCTCCAGTGGCTACCTTTTCTACTTGGGGAAGGGAGCTACTTGGGAAGGAAGAGGTGGGGAGTTCGATTCCTCACTTTTTTAGGGAGTCTTGGGGTGGGGACGTTTAGCTTCAGATGTGGGTTTCGACTTCCACGTTTTGTATTTTGCAAAAAAACAGGGCAAAAGTCTAAAAGTGAGTTGAGAGTTAGAGTAAGATAAGAAAAAATTAAATTATTTAATCATGTATTTTCTAGCTCATTCTCTAGATTAAGGATAAGCAAAGACAAAAAACAGCCATGAGAATTGAAAAAAAATTTGCCACCTGCAATTCCAAGCTATCGAACAAGCCCAAGCTTGGTGTTTGTTCATTTTTTTGTGTCATTACGTGAAGGACTTCAGTCATAACCTCCAGATATCTCTGATATGTCTAATATTTGTTTATTTAACCGTTAATCCCTGTACCTTATATAATGGAGGAAGCGTCACTCCCTTGTTAGTTAGCATGTGTCTCCCACGGGTTCGCCAATCTATTGTCTTTTAATCAATGCATCACAAAGTTAGATGAGAAAATGATTATATTAAGCGACACGTCTCATGTTCCTACTGCCACCGACGTTGATGGGTGGATCCTCCATGCAGGTGCAAGAGGAGAATGAGATTTATAAATTCGAGAGCATCGTATCATACCATATCTTATATTATATGTGAAAGTAGTAAAAGGCAATCCCGGAGGCGAAGCTGGACTTTCTTGAACATTCTTGGCCCCCGTTTCTTGACCCAAACGGTACCGACTTTGGTCGACTGACTTACTCGCACTTTCCAGGCTCTTCGCTACGTGGAATTTTCTTTTGAGATTTACTGAACCTGATCTTGTTTTTGCCTTTCAAGTTGTATATTAAATATTAATCTCTCGAAGCATGACATGAAATCTTCTTTTTGTTTTTTTTTTGGAGTATGTTTATTGCTCCAACTTGGGTTTTTTGACAAATGTTTTGGGCTCAATCAGGTCTGAGAAGGCCCATGCACAAGACATCCAGAGCATTTATTCTGATGCGTTTAGCTTTTGTCAGAGGTGTGATAATGAGTCTAGATCGCCATGCAGAGGACATGAGCAAATGGGATAGCTTTTTTAAATCATGCAGGGTTTTAAAGCAGCATAGGGAAGGCCACATTCAGTAAACACTTCAATATTTACTCAATTCATAGGCACCTTCCCTAGTTTAAGAATAGAACAATCAGGGCCGACCCAGGTTCACAACATGCTGCGGTTGCACCTGATGCAAGAGGGGATGCAGCAAATCGCATTCACTCTATTTCGAGAGGAAGAAATTTACGGCATTGCAGCTGCTGTCGTTTTGGACGCTCTTTCAGAATATACAGAGATAATGTGCGGTGTACGGTGCTTAGTTCTCGCTTCCGGAATCAGGATATAGCAGGCATGACCCGTCATCGACATTGGCAAGTGGATTGTATAGCTCGGAGGCAGGATCCATGCATCCAGGTACCAGATCAAGATTGCAGCGATCGCCCTTGATTCGATAATCACAAGCAGCAATAGTTACAAAGTGACTTCTCGCGGGAGCTTGAAGATGTGGGTATGATGGAAGTAATGGGTGTTACTTACCCCTTCAACAGACAAGTTGCCGATCATAGTGCATCTCGTGATTACAATGTTTGTGTCCGGAAAGATGGCCTTTTCACACGCGCCTTCTTTGCCCAATTCCTTCGCAAGGCCCTGCGATAAGAACACGAGGTAATATTGTAAACGATAACTGTTATCGTTCCATGAAGGTGCCCCAAGTAAGCGATCCCGGTTCCATTAAAGAAACGACTGAGGATGTACAAGATCACGACATTGAACAGTACATGGAGTTCTTGTCATGATAGAATGTCTAATCCTTTAGGTCCAAGCAGAGCAAGACTAATTTTATGGGTCACAAAAGAATTGGTTGCTGGAGATAATGATATGTCAATTGGTCATCACATGTGCTGTCTAGCTTGTAAATTTTTTACAGATCATTTCAGGAGAATTCCGAGTACATTTATACTTTATAGTCCTTCCATTATGGTTTGATGGTCATCCCCTACTTTTCGATGATAAAGAAAAGAGCAGACATATGGCTGACCTCATTAAAGAAGTCGATCGGTTTGTTTCTCCAACCCTTGGGAACTTGAAACTGCAGTCTGTAAGGACCGTCCCAGTCGACTCCGTTTGTGAATGAGAAGATCAAGTTCATCGCTGCCAACCTCGAAGGGGTATGAGTTCGTCTAAAGGAGAAAGATAGTGAACAAAATAGAATTTCATAAGTAATACCAACCGTGCTTGGGAACGCAGATCTGGATGGTGTAAATTGGAGAATCAGCTTTGCCTCGATCTTTTCTCAGCATTGCCCTTGGCTCGCCACCACACATTATAGGCTGATTGAAACCTCCTGCAGAATGCACAACAAAAAGGCCTGAGGAACAAATTTCATGTACAGAAACTTAAAAACCATGCACTCTATCAAAGGAAAAATTCACAGCTGAACTGAGAATCTCACAAGCAAATGGATTCATTTGAACATTGAAGCAACTTTCACTGTCGTCTTGTAATTAATCTGACAGTTTAACAGCAACATGAAAAGTCTGATTTTTCTGGATAGTGGAGAACTTTCTTAATTCCCAAGCAAAGTGCATCCCTCTAGTATATTGTATAAAAGGCATATTAATTCATTTGCGGCCAGTGATTCCATCTTTCATTAGCCTTCACATTGCAAAAATTATTGCATCTTGGCATTTGTCACTTTTAAGCCGAAAAATCATATGTTCCTCGACAAGGATGGTGAAAAATGGAACTTAAAAGGAAGTATGCAGGTCTTAGTGGATCTCAGTCAATAGAAACATGAGAAGTACCATTAAAAGCAATCCCAAATTCTTCACTTGGGGCAAACTTCGTGGCGGTTGGATTATAGAAAAGCTTCAGCTTCTCTCCCTGTTCAAATTGGCAATCACAAAATCAGCGATGCAATATAGTTTTTACTGAAGCTTCCTGCTATGAGAACTTTGGAAACAACTCATCTCATACCGATGCAGGAGGAAGACCATTCATTGTCTTCCAGTATACTGGAGACCTCCCAAGTTCAAACTTCGCCCATGAGGGAAGTGCGTACCTGTAAAAGAAACGACAAAACTTCAACATACTTAATGCAGATACAGAGGTAGCTCCAAAATTCTAAAGCCTGATATGGTAGAGACAAGTCCTGCTTTGAGGGAAAACGATATCAGCATAAGCATTTGAGTTAAGAGTCACCAAATCGCAGTATAATCGAATCTGGAAGCAATAAACGGTGAGCTGAAAGTACCGCGAGACCTTACTCTTTAACTTCTTCAATCAGAGACGTGGAGACAGTTGCAGCGGCCCTGACTTTGGTGTCTACCTTGACAACTTTACACTTCTCTAAATTCCTTTTCATCGAAGCACCAAGAAAACCGCTAACTGCGTAATGAGTTTAAACCGTTAGGCTTCTAAAGTCTAGTACAATTCCCATTCTAGCGGTGCTTGTGGAGATTTAATGTGGATGGACTCTCAGGTATACAACACGAACTGTATAATATATCACAATCTCCGCATGTCGTGTTCCCGTCATGAAAAGCCACTACTGCGAGATATACGTAGAAGTTGGTACCGAACTATAGCAGACGGCTTTTAGTTAGAATGAAACATGCTTGATGATGATGGGTCATGAATGAACTTAAGAATAAGCAAAATAAAACCAGAGCAGAGCAAACGGTTTCAATCTCACCTAATTCTTCTTCTAGCAATTTCCCTTCTTCGATGAAATTATTTCTCATTTCTGTACAAAGCTACTACTACCGATTCAACGTACCAAGCAAAATAGAATATCTGGCGTCAATTACTTCTGTAATATGTGCTCATCACACCATAACTACGCTCTATCCCACTAAGTGGGACTCTATGAACTCATCGATGGACAGAGTAGGGAGACCCACCAAGAGTGGTTGAGCTTGATGGCGCTTCTTTCCTGCTAGAGACCGCTCTTGCAGCCGAGAGTGAATTTGTTGTGGGAATGAAGATAGACGCAGATGTTGCCGCCATGTTGTTCACCCCTTCAATCACAGTCCAATTAGAGAGAGAGAGAGAGAGAGAGCGCTCTGAGAATATCAATGGGGTGCAAGAAGAACAAGAAAAAATCTGAGAAGAAATCGGTAATGTGAATAATCACAAGCACCAATTTATGCAGAAATATCTGAAAACAGACAATAACTAGAAAACCCCAGTCGAGACCATATCAGAAAGCGTGGAAAAAATCAGGGACTTCCATCATAGCAGTCCACATCTCATGACCACACAAATATCCAACCCACCTTATCACTACACTTCTCTTTCCCTTTGTCCCGTTGCTTTTGTTCTCCAAACCGCGCTTTAGTCTTTACCACCACCCAGAAATCTCAAATAAATCCTCCTCTTCAAGGCTTCGTGATTCACCCACAAAAAATCTAGTCCCTACACTGCTCTTCATCCCATCACACCACTAGCAGCCTTGACCCTAATGGTTTTCGATCGTGTACATAAGTTAGCCGCATGAAATTTGACAGACCCACCAAGTGAAACTTCCTAGACTGTTCCATACCGCTTAAAAATGTTATCATATTAGCCTGTTTATGTACAAGTGACTAAATTTAAATGTCTCCAGAGGCCAACTCAAGCTTGGCCCTTATTGCGCATGCCGTGAGAGTTATGCTAGGAAACTTGATGATTATATATATCATCAAGAACATGCATGTCTAAGCTGGGCAACAGTCAAAGCACATCCTAATTTGGTGATGGGTTGGCTTGGGAAGCCCCCCACTCCCACTAAGCTCAAGCCCAGACACTCAATTTGATGGGTCATCACTGGACTCCATATGGCTTAACACAAGTTGAGCCTTGCTCACGGCCCAATATATATCTGTCCCCCCAGAGTTAAACAAGAGATAATATAGACTTGGCAATCGGGTGGATTGTGACTTGTTTAGAACAATTGTTCGGATGAGTTAAAATTTGCAAGATTCATACCCCATTCTAACAATTGAGAATACTTGCCCACTTAGGTTTCGTTTTTTCGTGGAAAATGAGTGATTCGAAAAATATTCTCCTAAAAATAATCACTCATAAAAATGAATGAACGAACAAGATTTTCATCGTTCACAAAAATAACCTCTTTACAAAGTCATACCAAGTTACCAACTTATTCAAAACATATGTGTCATCATGTGCCTCCAAACACTGGCGAACACTAATCAGTGACAATAATTTAGGGCATTTTGACATAGATTGCAAAAGTATATACAGGGAAAAAATTAAAAATTAAGCTTCATAAGACAAAGAATATATATTCTCCTTTCTTTAATTTTTATCTAGACCAAGCGGTGATTAATAATAAGTACATTTTTGCATAGTTTTTTTTTTGGTCGAAACATTTTTGCATAGGTCTTTTTTTTTTGCTCACCATTTTTGCATAGGTCATTAACAGAGAAATTGTACAAATCTTGGCTACTTTTGTTTATCCCTTATCTCTGTCTGCCTCTCTCTACGTGACGTTATGCTGATGAGACTTACAAGTGAAATTCCATAGTTCTTATTGTTTTCCCCGCTATGTGAAGTTTCTTAATCGTCGAACTAATCCTTCTCACTAAATGTGGCAATATTTTCATTCCCACATTTATCGAGTAGTTACCGGAAACAAGTCTGCATATACGTTCCTGGGTTGGTCTCAAGGGAGTGTAAAAATTAATGGCAATTCACACACAACCCTTGAATGAGGAAGGCGTACTCGTGTAGTGGTGTCCATTAGACTCCGAACGGGAAATTTCATGCTTACTTTAGCATACATGGATAGCCATTTTCCCAATCTGGTCGGTTCAAGTTCGGCCCTAATATTTATTTGGATTTTCAATTCATGAGTGCCCTCGAGAAATTGTTAAAATAAAGAAAGTTTAGAGTTTTCAATTCATTGAATTTTCTCATGTTACATGTAATCATTACTTTGAAAATCGATCCATTCATTATTAAGTAAGCTTAATCCGAGCACCTAACAACTCGACAAGACGACGCTATTCATAGTAGAGTGCCCTCGTCATATTGGTCACGCAATCTTATTATTGAGTAATCAAACTTTCAAATTGATTACACATAACACAAGAAAATCCAAACCCTTAAAGTCGTACAACTCTCTTAATTTGTCACATAGAAAGTGTTTCTCGAGTACTCTTTTTAACATTTTCATTGATATAATCATTCAAGAAGACCCTCTTTAGAATTCGCATTTTTTTAGCCCCAAAAGGGACCCAATTATTTGATAACTACAAAATAAGGTAGTGCCACGGTCTCGAGCGACGAACTCGAGACCTCCATACCTCTATTAAACTATATAGAACAACCATACTCACAAGAACTAAAAGAATGATTAAAAGAACCAAATACAAAAAGAAAAGGCAAAGCCAGTGTCACCTCCTACTTTATAGTGGTTAATATTATACTTTACCAAATTGATTAAAAGAAGGAAAGAAGAGGGACTTCCCCGAGAATTGGGAATTTCGAAGCCAAAGGAATAATCTCCTTTTAATATAACTTTGTGTGTACATAATACCTTTACCAAGTGAGCACGAGAGGAACAAAGCATGATTATCGTCTGGGAAATCGATGCATGTTTTAATCTTATTTTACATAGGTGGGAACATGCCCTTTTTCCTTGCTTACGTCAAATCGAGCGTGCTTCCTCTTTGTTCATATCAAAATTCAAATGGCTAGCTCGAGCTATATCACGGTCTGCTAGTTTTATTGAAGGAGAAGAGGTGTCTTTTTTTGCCTCATTAAAATAATAATTGTCCGTAAAGTGATATTTCATTTTGTGCAAGAACAGTATTTGAGGTTTTGGAGGGACTAAGATAATATTTTCTATGCTTCTGTATTGGTCATTCCTAGGCCTTTCTTCTATGAGAATATGCTGATACGAAAATTAAGGCTCTATTTGATGTAAAGAAAAGTAGTTTTTCGTGCTTTTTACCTTAGATAGTTTGAAGTTTAGAGTACTTTGTGTTTAATAAAAATCGTCAAATATATTGAGAGCTACAAATTTTGCCAAAAAAAGTAAATGAACAAAATTTTTAAAAAATTAGTCACTCGAAAGTCCTAACAAACCCTATCAGTATTATATGCGTTAAGAATGCGTTTATTTCACTAAAAACTTTATTATAGGTGAAAACATTTTCCATGGCAATTATTTTCAAGAAAAATAAATTACTTTTTATTTGTTTGGTGGTTTAGGGAAAGTGATTTCCTTTTTGCTAAAATGGGAAGTTGTTTTCCCCCAATTTAAGCTTGTTGTTTATAGTTAATGGAAAACGTTTTCAGTAAATCGATTAGTTTTTCCTCAAATAAACACTGAAACAATTTTCCGTAAACAATTTTCATTCAAACAAACGGACCCTAAGTATGGATCCCACATCAACAATTAGTTCCGAAATACTTCATCCGAAAGGAAAATTACCAAAAAAGTCTTAAACATATTACACTTGTACCAATTCAGTTATAAACCTTTCGATTAAGTCAATTTAGTCAATGTAATCCATTCGGTCAATTTTTGCTGGAAATTGATGATATGGACACTAGCCATCCCATGTGGTACGACTGACGCCGATATGGAAAATTTTTAAATTTTTTAAAATTTGTCATTAATTTTTTCTTTTCATTTTCTTATTGTTAAGGACCAATAGGGGGCCGCCGGCCACCGACATGAGGCTTGGCGACCCTCGTGAACCACTAGGCAAGGGCCTGTGAGCCCTCATCGGCTACGAGCGAGGGTTACAAGCCTCACCTAGTGGTCAGGAGGGCTCACAGCCTTAGCTTGCCACCTGTGAGAGAGGGCCGCAACCCTCGTCGGCGTGGGTCGCCAGGCCTCAGCCGGTGGCCGACGGCCCTCTGACAACCCTTCACAATAGAAAAAAAAGAGAAAAGAATAGAAAAGAAAATAAATAAATAATTCAAAAAATTCAAAAAATTTCTACGTCAACTTCATTCGTGCCACATGGGACAGTCATCCAATGTCTACGTCATCAATTTCCGGCCAAAATAGCCTACATTGGTAAAATGTTGATATGTTTATGACTCAATTAGTGCAATGAAAATGTTTATGACTGAATTGGCATAAATGTAATATGTTTATAACTTTTTAAATAATTTTCCTTTTACCCGAATATATAATCGAGTTTTCTTAAATAATTACGCAATCACTTCCTTCAAGGATGGTTGATATAGGTGCGTTAATGCACTATTTCGCATATCCACACATTAGGAAGCTCCCTCCATTTTCAAGACAACAAGCACTATTCTTCTAGATTACGGAAATGCGAACTTAGTACGCGCGTGTTGCGGGTCCGAGTTTTTCGAGACAATCATGAGAGACAACAGTCACATTATGCTTTGCTTACGTCACAAGAATACTGCACTTGCTCTGAAATTCCAATGAGTGTCGACGTCTGAGAAGACCAAATTAACGTGCCTGCCTGCCTTACCTTTCTCAGAACTTGTTTATGGCTGACCCCATCACCTAGATATGGTCTTTCTCTGACCACACTGTCCAGATAAAAAAGCAGTACTTGAAAATTGCCGCAAGTGGAGAAATGGGTACAAGTTAAAATGTATTAATCCTTAACCCAGATTAATTTTCATGAGGAAAATGGCAAAGAAGAGGCATAAAGCAAAGGAGCAATGTTATACCACTCTTCATACATTAAAGGTCCTCCTATAGCATTCCAAAGAGCAAATTAAGATTGTAATAAACCCTTTTTGTGCGCGAACAACTTATGTGTTTTTTCATCCTTATTGATTGACAAATGTATAGGAGTTCAATAACCTTCAACCTTTCTGCATAAGGAGGGGGAAATGGACAAGGTTTGTAAAGCAAAATGTGTGTTCTGGGTACCCAACACATTGGCAAAGCTTCAATTTCAAAAGTCGCTAGAACAAGTTCTGATCAAGGCGTAATTCACTTACAAAGTCCATGATCACAACCAAAAAGGTGGCTCTTCTAACGTGTTCCTATACCGGGTAAAGAGTGGAAATGGCACGTTTAGACAGGCTATAATTAATCAAGATGAGTATCCGATATAGAATAGCGAGTCGATAAGTGTACAAAAGTTAAGAGAAATCTATGCATGAATCCTCAAATGGTTTTTGCAATACAACTACGATCTTGAGTTTTTAGTAAGGAATGGCCATACCCTCAATGAATGCTCCAATTATATGAAAGATTACAATAGCAGCAATTAACACCTATACTTCTTTGCTACAATTACATATATATATTATCACTTAAAAGTAGTGATCCAGACTCCTACACCACCCTAATTATCACCACGAAAAGTTCCATGATGCGTGTGGCCCTGTGGGCTTTGAATTTTCCTATTCTAACTTATCTTTGGACGACACAAACCAACCAAGAGCTACCCAAAAGACAAAATCTATCATCCACGCTTTCGACACCTGTCAGAAGAAGTTTGCGACCGTCACCCACCATCTGTCACCGGCCCTGACTGGTGCTTCAGCTCCCTCCTGCGCCGGGCACTCACTCCGCACCATCCCATCACCATAGCCGATGCAGAATTCAGCCCCTCCATGAAAAGCTGTAAACAAAGAATAACTTTCTGTAAAGAAGAAACGAAAAGGGAATAAAAAAGTGCAGGAAAAGGCAAAAACCCACACGTATTACCTATGGCAGTAGCAGCAAGCATGCACGAGGAAAAGAATGGTTGCGTGCATATTATACAGGTGAAGGAACGAAAGTGGTCTGCCAAATTCTTTGTGATGTTCGGCCATTTCTGCTGACATTGTTCCACCGGCTGCAGGCGGTTGTCGGGTGGAGAGAGAGGGGTGGAAAGAGAAGACCGCCGCGCCGAGCTGGGTGACCGGGGACAGCACGCGAGGGGACGGAGGGTACGGGAACAGCAGGTGGCCGATCTCTCTCTCCGCAATTCATTTCAGTGCAAAAAGTTGAGAGCTGAATTCGACTTTTTGTGCGGTTGGTCCGGGAGATTCCCCGCATTCGCCTCGATAACTTCCACTCTGCCACGCCCGCTCAACAGGCCATGCCCCCAGCCTCCGGTGGCGGCGCGTCCGCTTCACTCTCGCGAAGCTGCCGCCGTGAAAGACGGTGCTGCAGCTGGAGCACTTGTGGTGTGGTAAATCAAATCTGCTTGTTAAGTGTAATTTTCTTTCGCGTTGATGAATGAGAACTTATATATAGTAACCTTCCTCGTTAAAAAAATAAAGACAAGAAAAAAAAACATACCGACTTTCATCTAGTAAAGCGTACCTACCGATATTTACTTTTTACATACGAGAATTTCCTCTATTATCTAGGTCAATACAGACCGTTGAATATAGTTTCAATAACATGTACTATAGACATTTTAAGTTGGCGCAAATTGTTGAATGAACTAATCATTTGTCATACCTAAATCTAGAGATGATTAGGGGTGCAACAAATGGGTCGGCTTGGCCTCGGCTCACCGTGCGAGGATTTCAGTATGGGGAACGGACCGTGCTACAGGGTGGCACGGCTACTCATCTCACTAGTTGTGCGTTGTGCTTAAGCTGACCCTTTAATTTTTTCTGGGGTGGCCATTGGTCACTGATACTGTTAATGGTCATCAACGAGCTAATAGCTACCAAACAGCCACTGTGAGTAGCCATTAGTTGCCGGCTCTTTGGCCCTTGCTGCAAAATAAATTTTTAAAGCGAGGCCTAGTGTGGGCCCATGTTTTGCCCGTGCTAAATCGACGTGACGTGATGAGCATGACCAAACTTAGTTGCATTTACGTTTTGTAACGATGCAATAATCCTGACAAATTATGTTTCAACTCATTTTACAAATTCTCAATCTATATATTATTCTTTCGGTCGTTGTTTTTGCATTTCGTTCATTATCTATTTTATATTATTAATGTTTAAACTTTTCGGTTCGACCCTTTCTCGATTTCCTATAACTTTTATGGCCTCGAACGAAAAAAAATAAGGAAAACTTGTTTGAGAGATTTGGATAATTATCAAATTCTCTCCCTCCCCTTTTGGCCATCGACCGAAACGCAGGTTTCAGGAATAAATTCCATCAGAGAGAATCGAGCAATTCTAATTTTAAACCTTTTGTCACTATCAGGCATGGCCTGATGTACTTGCATCCTTTTCTATATATCTATTCTACGTCTTGTCTTACTCTCTTTTAATCTCATTAGCTGCGAAAAATGCAAGGCCGCAGCCTTTAAATAGCTGTCCAAACCCTTCTCCAATTCCCCCGCACACCCATCTGATCTGCGTGACCAGAAGCGAACGCGAAGCGAACTAGAGAGAATCTGAATCCACCCATCTCGCTCAAGAGCCAGGAAAGAGCGAAGAAGGGCCCCTTGTTTGGGTTGTGGAAGAGGGAGAGAAGGATAGAGACGAGCCAAAACGGGGCTTCCACTGTGGATGCTGGGGTGGGGTGTGGAGTTCTTGTGGGCCGAAATGAATCGCTTGCTCTCCTTGCTCTTCCACCAGGTCCTTGCTCCTTTTTCACTTCGGTGTTCTTATCTTCTTCAACCTCTCCGAGATGTGGCTTTTGATGGTGACTTCGTGTGCAGCTCGTTTTGATTGATGTGTGGTTTGTGTTGGCAGGGTGTGCTGGATGAGCAGTTCTTGCAGCTGCAACAGCTCCAAGACGAGAGCTCCCCGAACTTCGTGTCGGAGGTCATCACCATCTACTTCCACGAGTCCGAGAAGCTCCTCCGCAACCTCCGATTGCTCCTGTAATTAACTTCTTCTTCTTCAAGAGTTCTTTTCTTTTCTTTTCTTGCATTTTGGCACCTTGGAAATGTCACATACTCGACCGACTCCATTCACTTGAACTTTACGTGGGAACATCAACGTCTGCAAGATAAACGACAGATCCTATCTCTGTTGCATACATTTCTCTCCTATAACAATGTGACCACGGTGTGTGTATGTCCTCTTTCGTCTGTTGATCCGGAAATAAACTCACTCAATGTAAACATTCGGACAAATAGCGTGCATATTGAGTTTGCTCGTTTGTTTGTTGGTCATGATGGGGATGCATTGGAGACAGGATGGACAGAGAGCTGTCGGACTACAAGAAGATGGAGATACACTTGAACCAGATGATGGGAAGCAGCTCCAGCATCGGTGCCAAGCGCGTCTGCAACGTCTGCGTCGCCTTCCGCGCCGCTTCCGAGCAAAACAACCACGCCGGGTACTTTATTGTTTCGCGTCTGCTTTCACTGTTGCACTTATTCCCCAGAGGAAGCGAAACAATGCTTGGTTCCCAAACCTTTTGCTTTTCCTTCTTTTTTTGTTCAAAACGAAATGACCCTTTTACGTTCTTTTAGGTGTTTGAGAGCCTTGGAGTTGCTGGAACATGAATATTGCTACCTCAAGAACAAACTCCACGAACTTTTCCAGGTATGCACAAACTCTTACTTTGCTATTATATATACACCACAAACATACCAAACTCAACTGTTGCATTGGCTAATAACTAATGTCGCTTATCACATGGGTTTTCATTTTAAAAAACGCAGATAGAACAGCAAAGAGCTTTGGCATCTGGGGCTAGATATCCTGCACATCAGAACTGAAGCAAATGAGCAGCTCCTGCTGTGGTCGTACGTTCTACTCCGGCCTTCTGCGCAAGAACAATAGAGATTCGCTTATTCGCCCTGCACGCACCATGGAAGTGAAGCTCTGCGAAGGAAGGAGGGAGATTAGGGGGTGACATGTAACTCCATTTGAATGCAAAGATTAATGTACAAGTTGCAATGTGGCTTTATTAAAATTATGTGCGAGATAAGGGGGCAACTTGTAACTCCATTTGAATGCAAAGATTAATGTACAAGTTGCAATGTGGCTTTTTTTGAAATTATCTGCTTCGCTGATTGTTTCTTTCAGAAGATGGAACTGCATGTGACCGTCATAACTCAGTGAGATATTCTTATGCGAGTCAATGAAGGTTGAATAAAAAAAAGTGCAAACTTGAAAAGTCTTTGCTCATCGAGCTGAGAGATATCGAAGAAAATTCCACTCAACATAGGCCATAAAGACAAGGAAAAAAAAGGTAGAAAAATGAGGTATTTTAGAATACCTCTTTCACTTCTCTCCTTCGGCAGGCAATGCCTCGAACTCGTGACCATCGCGATTGTAACATTTTATGTGACTAAAGGCGAGGCCACATATGTGTTTGGCAACACAGGCTTCTCACAAAAAACATATTGTTCGTATTTTAACGTTAATGGGTATGGACCATTTGGGTCGAATTGGATTTGGACCTGATTTGATAGCACGAAGTGCTATCATCTTAAGAAAATCTGGTGATGGGCCCTCAAGCACATCGAATCGAAGTTTCTACGACTGTTTTTGGTTCTGGGCCTTTACTCTGGAGGACTCTGTGCACAATGCACATGATATGACCATCAAGAAGCTATTTTTTCTATATCCAATATCATTGACTAGGCTTTGACATCCATTATAGTATACCTAACAACATCTCGCAGTATATTGCGTTTGGTTTTGGGAAAATGTTGGGGTGTTTGCCAAGCCTTCCCAAGGGGCTTTCGGCCAAATACTGGCCTTGGAAAAAGCTAAAAGCCCAATGCTGGTATGGGCTTTCGGCATTTGGCCGGATGCTAATTAAAATTAATTTTTTGCTTCCAAAACCATCCTCACCAATTCTTTAATTTTTTGGTTTTGCCCCTCGTTTTTTAATGTTCATCTTCTTTGCGCAAGAGTTGCCAGCAAGGCTAGATTGGGCTAGCAAAGGGCCGGCGAGGGGTCGGTGAGGTTGGGCGACCGCCTAGGCGATGACCGCCGGCATCAGATCTGGCTCGCCGACGGCCTTAGACCTTTGCCGGAGCCGAGGGGTTGATTTTTTTTTAATGAAAGAAGAAGAATTAAATCCAAAAGCCTTTTACAGAAAAATTTTTGCCTAACACTACTTAGGCCAAAGTAGTTTTACAAATAGATTTTTACCTAACGCAATTTGCATTTCTCCAAAGGGTTTTAGGCCAAAGGCATTTTTATTTCCCCAAGGGGCTTTAGGTTGAAGGTATTTGCATTTTCCTAAGTCCTATTTGTAAAGTCAAACCAAACGCAGCCATAGTCTTGGTACTTCAAGTAATGTGTAGTAAGCTTACAATTGTAAGAATGGTATTTATGTGGAGTGCTTGTTTTGCTTCAAATCGACCAATCCTAAAAGCACTTAGTTATCCATGATGTCAAAGTCGAGAACATTGTCCAAAAAGTTATAAACCTATAACACTTTTGTCAAGTCAATCCAAAACCTTTTAATTTTGTCAATTGAGTCCTAAATATTTTCACATTTTGACAATATTCGGCCAATTTTGGCTGAAAATCACTGACATGAATGCCGGTCATCCTACGTGTTATATTAAACGCTAACGTGCATAATTTTTAATAATATTTTAATATCTATTCGATTTTTTTTTCTTTTTTTGAACACCTTTCACCAACGAGGTAGCTGGCCGACCATCGCTAGCCACAGGCCTAGTTTGGGCAAGGTCGTAAGCCCCTTGCTTGTGGCTAGCAAGGTGCCGCGGCCCTTTGGGCGATGGTCTCTGCGCCCTCGTCAGCCAAATTTGTAAAAAAACGAAAAGAAAAGGAAAGAAAGGAAAAATCAAAAAATTATTTAAATAATATTAAAAATTATTTATGTCAGCAATTTTCGGCTATAATTGATTGAGTTTTCGGTTATAATTAATCGGATAAACTCAATTGGCAAAAGTGAAAGATTTAGGATTTGTTGGACAATTTTTCCTATAAAAAGCTAGTTATACGATTACAAAAAAAAAAAAGAGGTATTTTAGAATACCTCATTCTTCTTCTCTCTCTTCTCCTCCCTCATACCATGCCTTGAACCCACGACCTCGGATTGATCCGAATTCAGACCAACCACAAGGCCAATGGGAAGGCTGGTGTCTCTTGTATGGTAGAAAATATATAAAACCAGTACTGAAGTTACTGAAACCATAGCTTTGCGAGACGAACTGGACCTTGATTCTCAGAAACTCTGAAGGGCCTAAGGCATATGGGCTCGTGTATATTGCCCTAATAACTAAGCAAATTGATCATCTTCTTGTGATAGCTTTTCAGGAAATGCCACCGAAACATCCTCTTCAGCTAAAACGCTCTGCAATTATATCAATCGAATCAAATCGGGGAGGCCAAATCTCCGCAGAACAACGTGCAAAATCTGTTAAATTAAAGCTGTTGGAAAAGATGCATATGCATATGCATATGATCGAAAAGGACGGGGCCAACTTTAGCGATCCGTGCATGATTGATGTTCTCCTCCCTCCCCCCCCCACCACTATCATGGCTTTACATTGCTCCTTTGCTTTTGGCAATTACCATTTAAAATGGAAACGTGTTCAAGAGACCACTCACAGGCCCGAAAGATGGTTCAAGAGTGGGGCGAAAACAAAAGCCAGGAGCCGACGCAGGATGACCAATCTACCTTTAGAGAGGCTCTCCCGTTGAATACGCGTTTAGTGAGGACGAAAAGAATCCACTCTTGAAAAGGTAACGATATTCATCGAAAGTTATGATTCCGATTTCACTCAAACGAAAGAATCCACTCATGAAACTAACAATATCTATCGAAATTTCCAATTCCGATTTCACTCGATAAATTAATCGAAGTTTCGAAGAGAGGAGAATGATGGTGTGGGTGAGCTTATTGACAGATGTTTCACATAAGCGATATAGAATGGATCCCGTGCTCACAAAGCCCTGCACATTATCTCTGAAAGGGCCGATGCAGGCTTGCCGAGTTGGGATTACAATCGACTTAAGTCGTCTCTATGTTCACCCTAGTTTCAATATGCACTCTGGCACATTATAGTCGGTGTTTTGCCCACGATGATGGGTTTATTGGGATTTTGGAACCAAAATCCCATAGAATTGAATGAGAAGTGTGTGGGTGAAAGTGTCCCACATAGGGTAGAAGAGAGATGAGAGATGGGTTCAAAAAGTTGAGCCTCACAAATGGGTTTGGGCCCCAAGGGGTACCCCACTTTTGTGGAAGAGAGAGGACCTACGTCAAGCTAGGTCGGTCCACCGCCGCCGCCGTCCGTCCGGTCGGTTCCGGGTCCGCTCTCTATCGGTTTTTATTTTTATTTTTCGAACAGACACGTTGTTTAGAATTTATTTATTTATTTATTTTTTGGACAAATAAACATGTCTGTTCGTGAGGTTCGGTTCGCCCGAACGGAAAACCGAAGCCCTTCGCGACTGTTCACGAACCGAACCGGTTCAAGTGAACCTTCGCTACTGTTCTCTCGAAAACTCACAACTCTTCACTTTTCGCCACTTGAATAAGACCGAACAGTTTAGTTCGGAATACATATCACTTCGTGACATTCATTTTTTCCCGACGCACTCTACGCATATTCACTTCATCATTTTCATTTGGTGCGATTGTTCTGCAAAATTGCGTTCGTTGGAGTCCTCCGAATACGTACCGCTTCGGAGGAACGAGATCCGTTCTATCCTGGGAGACGATTGTCCAATATCCTCGGGTACTGATTGAGGGGCCAAATTCGTCTTAAGGACACGACGCTATTTCGTTGGGCTCGGATCAATATTCTGCTTATTTGGTTGTACTGCTTTCAGGTTAGTTTTTCCTAACGTTTGATTTTAATTTCTGATATACGAACTTAGCCGACAACAATCTTAAGACGAATTTTCTTCGGTTCTGTTCGTATATTCTTATGCGTTGTTCATTGAGTTTTTCTATCAAATATCATATTGCCGTTTCTTTAATTCGAACTTTTGTATAGTTTGTATGTTCCTTGTCATAGTCGTATAGAATACGATTCTGTTTGCACATTCTGTTCGTTAACAAATTTTTCGAATACTGTTCATATTAGAAATTTTCAATTCTGTTCGTGAATATGGTATGTGTTTATATTTCAGAAATGGCTTCGGCTTCGACTTCGGTTAATCCTATTCCGAATCACGGAGAAAAGCCAGAAAAGTTCAATGGTACGGATTTCAAGAGATGGCAACAAAAGATGTTGTTCTATCTCACGACCTTGAACTTGGCTAGATTCCTCAATGAGGATGGTCCTAAATTGGACGTTGGAGAGACAAATAAAGAAAAGCTTGCTGCTGTGGATGCATGGAATCATTCTGACTTCCTGTGTCGCAACTATGTCCTCAACGGTCTGGACAATACTCTCTATAACGTATATAGTCCGCTAAAAACGGCTAAAGAGTTATGGGATAGTCTGGACAAGAAATACAAAACCGAAGATGCCGGATTGAAGAAATTCATTGTCGGTAAATTTATGGACTTCAAGATGGTTGATTCAAAGACCGTCTTAAGTCAGGTTCAAGAGCTTCAAGTGATTATGCATGATATTCATGCTGAAGGAATGACTCTAAGTGAGACATTTCAAGTGGCTGCATTCATTGAAAAATTGCCACCATCCTGGAGAGATTTCAAGAATTATCTCAAACACAAGAGAAAGGAGTTGTCACTTGAAGACTTGATTGTTCGGTTGAGGATAGAGGAAGACAATAGAAATTCCGAGAAGAAAGTTGGCAGCAATTTGGCAGTCTCAAGAGCCAATGTTGTTGAAGAAGGATCAAAACCCAATAAGAAGAGGAAAATGCCTAGCAAGTCTGGAGAGGGATTCACCCAAGGCCTGAAGAAGTTTGTTGGCAAGTGCTTCAACTGTGGCAAGTCTGGACATCGAGCTAAAGACTGCAGAGCCAAGAAAAGACAGAAAACTCAGTCTAATGTGGTGGAACAAATTTTCAATGGTGTTGATGATATCAATCTAACTGCTATGATATCCGAGT